CCGAGCGGCCGGGGCCCTCCGCGCCTGCGCTGCCTGAGCAGTTCCCCCGCGACATCCCTCGTGGCCCGGCTACGGACTTCCTTCCTCTTGCATCTAGTTCATCGAAACCTCTGGTCCGAGCAAGGAGAGGAGACAGCCACACGAGCATGTCCCGTACGCCCGCTGCTTCTCCTCCCAAATCCCCGGGGTGACCGCAGGGCGGGGGCTGCCCTGCTCCAGAGCAGCCGGGGCGCAGGGCGCCCGCGGCCGGGCCGGCGGGGCTGCTGCAGCCCGCTCCTTATTGGGGACCAGAAAAGTAACTTCTTCACTGGAGCTGTTTGGTAACACTCATAGCTGGAGTTTCTGCGGACACGTACCAAGTGCTTTCGTTTTCAAAATATATATAAATAGACATACATTGTCCTTCCTAAAAGGACACGACCACAAGAAAAACCAGCTTTAAAAGCTTTAAAACCAGGCCGTGTTTTAGAGGAAGAAAACCACACGGTTTTTTTTACAGATCTGAGTTCTCTTACCTGGACAATGGGCGTCAGCACACAAAAAAACCCACACGTGCCAGTCTCCTGGTGGGGCCCGCACGTACACAGAAACTTCTTCTCAAGAAATACACTTGCAGTTTTGTCATTATTAGCACAGTTAGGTCACGACTATCTGTGTATAAGCGTGCTCGCAAGGAGACATGATGCCAGTCGGTGTAAATCTCCAGCTCCAGCGCAGCAGCGCTCTGCAGTTTACATTTTTCCAGGGAAGGTTTAGAAATCCTCTTGTCATTGAGACGCTAGAACGTGCCTCTCCGAACCGCAGGCACCTTGAGGCAGGGCTGCGGGCCGAAGGAGAGAGAGGGGGAAAGGGAAAGCAGCTAAGGAGATGTGGTTCAAAGGGAGCCGGTAGCAACGCAAAGTTTAATTAGCTTAAATCAAAGGACCGTGAAAGTTGCACGCATTTGCAGGGAGGCAGCGCGAGTCCCAGGAAATCAGGAGAGAGGGACTCGCGCTGGAACAAAGTTCAGGCCAGCCGCGCCGGTGCCAGGTGAGCAACCTCTGCGTGGCAGGAAAGGGCACCGTCAGCTG